ATATTGATTTCCTTTCATTGAATTTTGAAGATAACAGGGTTTACATTGGAATTTAATGACAGTAAACTAAAGGAACATCCGAGTTACACCCTGGAATAACTCGTGATGTAGAAAAGGTGGCAAGACTGAACTACCGGGATTCCCGCCTGACTGGGAATGGAGTAGCCTTCCATTTTTGCAACTTGGCATTGGGCCCCATATACAGCACCTCAGCGGTGCTCGAGCCTTCTCCCGGCTGGACCATGTGGGTTTCATACAACATCTGCCTCATAGCTCCACATATTTCTTCAATCTCCTCGGCCGTGAAGGCCTCATCTTCCTCTTCTATTTACTTGGCCTTAACGAATGTTTCGAACAGATGCGGAATTGGCTGAGGCAAGACCCAACCATTGTTTTTCCGCTCATTTGCCCATGTTTCATCAGCTGGCGTGGCCTGAAAACCCACACCAAAGAACTTCTCACTAGCAGCCAGAGTGATAGGTTCTGTGATACCTTGCAATGATGTCCCGAGCCCCTTCTCGGGCTTATATCCATGCCTGGTCATTTCCTTGGCAATCATAATTGACACATTCGAGAGAAAGGGTTGAGGACACGGGCTTCCTTCTTCACATTGGTCTGCGACCACAACCTCGAGGCTTGATAGACTATATGTTTGCTACCTTCCCTTCCTTCAAGACATGGGACTGACGGGTCCCTATAAATTGATTGCTCGTCCTCCCCGTGGGCCACGATCTCCTGATCTTCATATTCAAATTTCACCATCTGGTGGAGAGTGGAAGGTACGGCTCCCGCCGCATGAATCCAAGGCCTTCCCAAGAGGAAATTATAAGAGGTATCCATGTCTAGGATCTGAAATGTCACCTCGAAATCTACACGACCAATAGTCAAAATCAAATCGATCTCGCCTATGGTGTCTCTCTTGATGCCATCAAAAGCACACACACAGACATTGTTAGGCCTGATTCTCTCAGCCCCAATCTCCATTATTTGCAAAGTTGAGAGAGGGCAGATATCAACTCCGGATCCGCCATCCAGCATGACTCTTTTCACATAATACCCCTCACATTTAACTGTCAGATGAAGGGCTTTGTTGTGGGCGGCTCCTTCCGGGGGTAAATCATTCTTGCTGAATGACATCTGGTTGATTGCGAAGAATCTTTCTGCCATCCTTTCCAATTGTTCAATAGTGGTTTCAATCGGAACATAAGCTTCATTGAGGGTTTTTATCAACACTTTCTGATGCTCGGTTGAGCTCAACAGTAGGGACAAGAGTGAGACATGTGAAGGCGACTTCCGGAGTTGCTCTATAACCTCATAGTTTGCAGTTTTCATTTTACAGAAAAATTCTTCGGCCTCCTCAGCACTAACAGGTTTCTTTAGTGGGAAACGCTTCTTCTTGGCTTTGTTCAAATCCTCCAAGTTAAGGTATTTCTCAGCTGGGTTAGTTTTATTTGTTTCCCCCAGGACCTCTTTTCCCTTGTATGTCACTACCGCTTTGTTGTAATTCCATGGGACGGCAGTGGGGTCTGTCATGGGCTTCTGCGGTGCGCGGCCAATAACCACGGGCTCATTCAGCCTTGGTGAAATTACTGGCCCCCGTACCATATAGGTCCCTTTAGGCACGTACATTTTAGATCCCCTGTTCAGCTCGAACCTTTTTGGAGGGCTCAATGTTATTTGTTCTTTCCTGTGACCCCGGGGAACATAAAGAATGGCATCTTTTGGGGGTACTGCCCCAGTTTTGGTTTCTACTTCCTTTTCTGCACTTTGAGGGGTGGGTTCATTCTTTTTCTTCCCCTTATCATTCTTTGCAGCAGCCTTCGGTTTCTTCTCAACATCAGCAATGGCAATGATGACTTTCAAGGCGGGATCAAACTCTTTATCTTCGCAAATCATCCCAATAAAAGGTTCGTTGTTGTAGGCCGGTGATGGATTGTTGGTCACATTAGGAATTTCTTCATCCTTCAGAACTATTCATTTTTGCTCTATGAGATTCGCAACTGCCCTTTTTAGGGTCCAACAGTCTTCAGTGTCATGCCCTTCCGCTCCCAAATGATAAGCACATTGAGCATCGGGTCGGTAAGAGGACAACTCTGGGTTTTGCCTGGTTTCGGGTACGGGTTGCAACAAATCCATTTGGTTAAGTTTAGGGAAAAGGCTAGAGTATGACTCACCAATAGGAGTGAAATTTGTTCTCCTGGGTGGCTCTCGAGCACGGTCATTGTAGGGGAAATTATTTTGTGGAGGTCGGGGATTATACTGAGCTTGGTGGGGAGGGTTATTTCTAGGAGGTGGAGCTCTGTTTTGGTTAAACTGTTGTTGTGGCCGAGCGTTTGGTTGGGCGTTCATTGCTGCATACGGTTGGGGGGCCATAGCATAATCCACATCCTGGTGGGGATAATAATGCTGTGGGGGGCTTGGAGAGAAGTAACTTCTGGGTGGACGGGGGTTCCTTGAACCTGAAGCTGCTATTGCCGCTTCTTCCTTTTTCTTTCTGTACGCTACACCTCCGGACCCACTTTGAATTGCTTGGGACGTAGCTCTTATGGCAGATTGACTCAATATGCGCCCTGTTTTTACACCGTTCTCTACCATCTCACCAATCTTGATGGCCTCCGCGAACGGTTTCCCCATTGCAGACATCATATTCTGAAAGTAGTCAGCCTCTTGGGCTTGTAGAAAAACACTCACCATTTCTGTTTCATCCATCGGGGGCTTGACCCTGGCCGCTTGTTCGCGCCATTTAACAGCATATTCCCGAAAACTTTCCGATGACTTCTTCTTGAGATTCGACAGAGAATTCCTGTCGGGAGCTATGCCTATGTTATACTCAAACTGCCTGACGAAGTCCCGAGCTAGATCATCCCAAATGTGACAATGGGATATCCTGATCCATGTACCACTCGGATGCAATGCCCACTAGACTCTCCCCAAAATAAGCCATAACCGAGCTCCTCTTTTCCACCTGCTCCTCTCAGTTTATTGCAGTACCTCTTGAGGTGGGCGATGGGATCCCCATGCCCATCGTACTTCTTGAACTTGGGAGTTTTAAAATCCAAGGGTAGGTGGACATGTGGGAACATACACAAATCAGCGTAGGATACGCTCTTTTGACCACTTAAGCCTTGTATATTCTTAAGGCTCTATTCCATTCTCCTCATCTTCCGAGTGATTTCTTCCTGCTCGGGGTTCTTTGTAGTTTTCTCCTGTCCTGCGGTAAAATCATATCGGGGCTATTGGGGGTAGGAATTGGTAGTGAACTAGGCCGTTTCGGGTGGGAAGGATGGTACTTGAAAAGTGAAGGATGATGGGTCAAAGTTTGGCCTTGGCAAAGTGGCTTGTGCGGTGGCCGAGGAAGGTAGCGCAGTGAATATGTTGGAGGCCACACCTGAAATCAACACCTGGGGGCAAACCACAGAAAGTGTTCCGGCAAAGTGGGCTGAGATGGTAGGATATCCAAGCGGAGTGTTTGGGTAATTTATTGGGACGTTGGAAGTTCCAATCGCCCTGGGAACTAGCTCAGGGAAACCAGGTATCGTACTCGGTGGCTCCCTACCATTGGACCAGGCGTCCCACATTTCCAACATGCGGAGAAGCAAAACCCTGTTTTCCTCAGCAGCGGCTGACTCTGAAGTTGGGATGGCCGAGATCGGGCTATTCTTTGAGATAGGAATCGTTGGTAGATGACCCTCAGATGACATTTCAACACTTCCTTTTGATCTTGTGAAGTAGGGATGTGAAGCCAGATTACCACAAAACCAACCACCTTAATATAGAACCTTAACAATAGCAAACACAACGAACCAGTTAGTGCGAGTCAATTAATATATAGGGAATCGCACATTGGGGTGTGATGCACCTATACAGTTAAATGTTTTTCTATATTGTTTGCGATGGTTGCGTGTTTCATCCCGGCTTTCATTTATCTCTCCAAAAACTTTTTTTTTCTTTTGGTGCTTTTCACCTTTGCTCGCTTTCGTACTTTCGTCATCATTTTTCCTTCTTATTCCTGCTTTCCTCTCTTTTCTTGTTTTTCTCTTTTTCTTGTTTTTCTCTCTTTTCTTGTTTTTCTCTCTTTTTCTCGTTTTCTTTCTTTTCCTTTTTATTCGAATTATTTAAAAACATGACCGGATCCGATTGGGTGCCTACGTATCACGATGCCGCGTGAATTAGAACATCACGTAGTTCAAGAAATAAATGCAAAAATAAAGAAACAATTTTTGGGGTTTTCCGAATTTTCATTAATAAAACTTCTACTTTTTTCTGTTACAAAAGACTCCATCCTACTTTTCTAGGAATTTAAAAACTAAAGACAGACTTGAAACATACTTTAAAACTAGAAACTGAAATACAGACTCAAAATGAAAATCAAGAGTACATAAGTGCTTCAAAAGTTGATCTAGGGGCCTGCGGGACATCAGTCGGTCTCGCCACGGGCCTATGTGCAAGGTCTCCTTGAAGACGATCCAGGTAATTCATGATTTTTCGAACAAAGGTCATCACTGCGGAGAAGAAGGTGGTTTGAGTCATGTCTTCACATTCATGGCACTTTGTGACGATGTAGTCAGCAATTGCTCTAACCCTTTCCCTGATGACACCTTTTTCTTGGAGCAAACGACTGATTTGTTGAGACCTAGCTTCTAACACTTGGGCATCATGATGGTTCTGACCCTGCAGCTATTGCATATCTTCCTCTAGCTGGGGCATAAATGCATAACAGAGTCCCCTTTCCGCTTTAAAGTTCCTAGCTTGTTTGGACATCTCATTTTCGAGGGAAGTTAGCCTTTTCTTCAAGTTTGTGACTGTTCCCTCATATTTCCTTTTCAGTTGTCGTACAAACTCTGCCCGTCCCTCTGCGGCCTTTGTCAACTGTGCCTGGGCCCTTGCCAGATTACCCTCAAATTTTTCCAAGTCTTCCTTGTACTCAGATATTTTCCTTCTAAAACTAGTTATGAGTCTTTCATCTTCCTGGCTCTTCTCCTGATTTTCAGCAGCTATCTTCATTTTTGGATCTGGGATCGAAGGGCTTTGTTTTCCTGAGCCAATTTCTTCTTTTCCCCTTCATCAGCAGCAGCTTGTACACTGTTGTCAAATTTAAGATCACGGATCTGCCCCTCCAATTTGCTTATTGTGGCTCTGTAGTTTGTCTCTTTTTCCAACCAATCCCATTGCTCCCGTGACTCATCAGTGAATTGCTGGACATGGGGTCTTTTAGCAGGCCTTTCGGGCTCTTGATGGACTTGAAACCTTTTACCAAACCAAATCGTGTAACTAGGCTCTAGCTCGCCTTTGGATACATCCCTTACCCGAGTCTTTGGCTCTAGAAACCTACACTGATTCCAAATCTGACGAACTTTTGCTTCGGGGAACACAGCTTTTGGACCCAATTCAATGACTTGTCGGCTCAGATCTTCATCATGTGGGATAGTTTGAAACCGGCCTAGCTGGCGTAGCACCCTGTGCGGAGCGTATGAATGGATGCTTCGGAGGCCCATTAAGAGAAGATAGCACACCTCGACTGACATATAAATGACTTCAGTGACTGGGAGCTAACCGAATGTCCATTCAATTTTGTTTGAAGTTAAAGAACTCAAATGTGCAAACCAAGCCTCTGTACCTTCTGGAAATTCACAACCCACCACTCGGTTTTCATATTCTTCAATGCAGTTCAGACCAGTCATGCCGTAGGTCATGTACCTCAAGCGGTGACAGAGATGTTCTTGTGTCCAAAGTTGCAGGAGCATGTTACAGCCCTCGAAGAATTTTCCCCCTTCTCGGCAGACAGCTAAAGCTCGATAAATCTCCGCTAAGATCATTGGAACAAGGGTGCCATTAGCTTTTTTAGTCATGACGTCGGCCATTCCTATAAGACCCAATTCTATGTTTCCATCTTTTCTTGGGCAAATTAAAACACCCAAGAATGCCACTATAAAAGCCAGTCCTCGCCGTGCTTCCCATTTATCTTTGTTTCCTGAATGAGTTAGGCCGGTATCTGGTGCTTCAAAACCGTGGGGATTGCCATAACGATGGTACAAGAAGTAGAATGTGCAAAATCCTTCGGATAAATTTCCATCTTGAACCTCCCGATTGATGCTCAGCAGGTCCAAAAACTTATGAGGAGTCACTGTTCTTGGCGCCACTGGGTATCGACTTCTGAGATTCTCACTTAGACCGGCATAGCCCGCTATTTCCTCCAGCGTGGGGGTTAGCTCAAAATCAGAAAAATGGAACACATTATGAGTCGGGTCCCAAAAGGGTATCAAAGCCTCGATTACATCCAACCTCGGTTTGATTTTCAGAAGACCAACAAGACCGCCCAAAACTTTTACCACAGTATTTTTGCTGACTTTTCCTAAGTCGTTCCACCACATATGAGCTGTAATGGGATTTCCTCAAGAATTATGTCGGGTTCATTTTCAATTGTGCTCATCCTGCACATTTATTAGAGTGATTGGTTAAAAGATCATGATTTATTTTGACTCAAGAGAAAGTTATCAGTTTTAAAAAAAATTTCATTTCAAAACAAGGAACGCCTTTGCAAATACGGCCCTTCAGCACCTCAGGGAAGAAGATTTTAGGGCTGTGTTTGCTAATTGGCAAAAATTGAAAAAGGAACAAAAAGTTGCTATTCTTGCAAAAGCAGCCTTCCGGCGTCTTTTTGGGGACGTTTTGGCCATTTAGACAAGAATGACATTACCTAACTTATTTATGACAAAACAACAAAAAAAATTGTTCCTTTTTGGGTTTGCAAAAATAGAGTTGGACCCGGTGAGGGTTGCCTACGTATCCCACATCCGGTGAGAATCAAACTTGCGTAGTTCGGGCAGTTTTGACACAATGAAAACAGAACCAAATTCTTTTTCTTTCTTTTTTTTCAAAATTCGGCAGAGTTTTGGTACTTTTTGGACACCGAGTTTTCAAAGACGGGTAATTATCTCTCTCATACCTCAACTTTGATTTTTCCAAACTTTCTCCATTATTTTAGAAGCCGGTCAACATGTAATCCGGAGCAAATAAATGCACAAGTAGCAAGTAGAATGCATCAGGATGGTCTTTTGATTTCGGATACACCTGTCCTATACAGACCTAACCCCTGTGTTGAGTCTCCAAAGTCAAATGCACGTGATGCAAACAAGCGTTCCTACTAGGGATCCGGCATGAGGCTTTGTTATGCTAAGTTTAAAACCCTGGGTGTATTGTTCTAGACCTGGCATACCCGAGCAGATAGCTTGAGCCGGGGGGCAGGGGGCAGTGTACCGGGAATACAGAAGCTTCACCGGCTTTGCAACTTGTTCGAACCTCGTCCTAAAATTGGGATATGACTTTAATAGAAGAGAAGTTACACGAAGTGCACCCTTCCCAGATGATTTAGAAGACTCAGAGAGAAGGGGGTTTCATAGCAATTTATATACAGTCCAAACGATATCAAAGCGGTAAAAAGCGGCAATTAGCACAATAGGCTCAAACATGTAAAAATCAGATAATAAATAAAGCCAAGTATAACAGCTATTCTAAGCTCGAATTCTTGAACCCTGAACCAGAGATTCTGGGTTCTTATCCCCAGCGGAGTCGCCAGAGCTGTCACACCTCCTTTTTTACCACCCGAGGGGGATATAAGGAAGTTTTCCAATTTAAGTGACATTATTTGAAATGGGATTATTTATTTAAGAGTCGCCACTTGGAATAGTTTATTTGGTGTCCCAAGTCACCTATTCATATTAAAATCCCAAATCGAGGAAAATTCGACTTTACTTTATAAGTCTGCGAACCAGAAATTCTAGATAAGGAATTCTGTTAACCCGGGAGAAGGTGTTGGGCATTCCCGGCTTCCGTGGTTCTAGCATGGTCGCTTAAACTATTAAAATTGGCCTAATTATCTGATTTATTATATGTTTTAACCTATGGTGCATTTTAGCTTAAAACCGCTTTTAATTATTTTAAATCTCTTTTAGGAAGATTCAACGTTATTTAAAACATGCCTTGAACCACGCTACATGAAATGCACCCGCGGTTCGCGACACGTTCTATTTAACATTGTTGAGAAATTGAAATTGGGTCACATGAAATGTACACCCGGATTTAGTAATTAAAATCACAATTACGTCACGGGAATCGTACCCGTAGCTATGATTGAATTATTTAAAGAACGCGCCTAAAGCAACTACGAAGGCTTAAATTAATCACAACATTTATAAGGGCCATGGAGATTTTAATTGATGGCGCAACTCAATTTTTACAAGGTTTGAATTAGTTTCATGAGGGCCATGGGTTTTTAAAGGGAAAATGGCACACCTCAAATTTTCTATAAGAGTTAACTAATTTTATGAGGGACATGGGCTTAGGGGGTTTTATTTGGCATGCCACACCTCAAATGGTTTTAAAGAAAACTTATTTAATTAAGGCAATCTAAGGATATTCTTATTTGAAACTATCTTAAGCTTAACAAAGGTTAATTGATTACAAACAGATTTTTAAACGTTCGGGGCAAGGGAAATGGGCCAACAATGTTTCCATATTTAGACAATTCAGCTTTAAAAGTTGTCTTTGGGCTCACGAACTGGCCCAGAAATTAAAAGGGGCTTAAGGATATCATTGCTGAATTTGAACCAAGCAGCCCACATTGGGCTTAAATTTAGGCGGGCCCAGTTGCGACTACTGATTGGCTAGGCCTATCTACCTTTGAATTCTTAGCCAAAACATGCAAGTGGACTCACTTTTAAATGGAGAAAACTCAGAATCAGACACAACTCAAATTACAATATACATGATTTGCAAAGTAAAAGAACCATTACAATTATACCAAGACTTATAGGAAAAAAGAAGCCTGGATTTGGCTTAAAACCCAAGCCCAATGGCCTATGTCCAAGTTCCATTTGTGGGTCAACATTCAATTGGGCCTCATGTTCAGCCCCCTTTTACCCTTGCGGATTGGGGCTCTCAACCCCAGCCCATTGCACTACTACAATTATGAATACTATTATGGAATATTCATACAAAATAGAAGTCTTACTTATTACAGCACTTCATGCAGAATCAAAATCAAAAGAAAATCTATGAATATTACATGATACCCTATTAGATACATATAATACTATTCTAATTACTAATCTGCTATAGTGCTCATTTCATTGATGAACCAATAGACAGCCTGCCTCCCTTGGACATTGTTTATCCATCAAAGATGGGCCTCTCACATAAACAAACTAAATTTCAGCAGATTCAAACAATGGAAATTTTAAACTTTTAACCTTGGAACCTACTGATTTGAGTCAACTAGTGACTCAAATCTGTAGGAATTGGCTAGTAGTTTGCAAATAGAGCCCCAAATGACCTCAAAACACAACATCAATCAGAAAGAGGACAAGAACAGAAATGAGTTAAACACAGTTACTACTAACAACAAAACATTTAATTCTTAGCCCTTTAACCCGCTGATTTGGCCAACTAGTGCCCAAACTCACAGATTACAGCTCATCAATAGCAAACCAATTTCAGGTGACATTAAGTAAACAAGTTATACATTTAACTGGAAGAAAAGAAAGGGGAAGACATGACTTTAAATATCCAAAATCAGCATTATTCAAACAGAATATTTAGCTAGAGAACATATTTGAACAAGGTCACTTTTAGAGTGATGACTGCTGAACAATCATGTATCAACTCAATTTGTTTATACCAAATTTATTCAAGTTTTAAGCTCACATAATAGCAAATAACTGGGATACACATCATTGTAGTCAGGATACAAACATGAAAAAGAACAACCATTCATCACAGGTAACTTGCAACTTTGATCCCTATGCCATTTTAACAAAAAGCTCATTACATGAAGGAAAATTGAGTTCAAATACCTTGAACAAGTAGCAATAAGAACCAGTGAATGCTAGAACAGGAAAGCACTGATTGAAAACACTTGATAAGAGCAAAGAGAAACAGCAGAAATCCAGCAGCTCAGCAACGAAATGAAATCTCAGACTTCCAAACCCAAACCAAACACTGGAAACCAGAAATCCCAAAGTAAATAACCCCAGAATACTCTCTATTTCAAACCATGTCTTTAACTTGTGAGGAAATTAAAAATGAGAGGTTTTTGGAGTTTTTCTCAAGATTTTTGGAGTATGAACTTTTTAGAAAAATAGAGCTTTTTGTAGTAAAAATGCTGATCAATCCCCATTTATCGAATGAGAGGACCTTCCTATATATGGGTTGCCTAGGGGAGGGTATATTTTTGGCATATTCCTTATCCTAGGGAATAAATAGTACTGTCCTTGGTACAACTGTCCTATATTTCAGCATCTTTTTGTAACAGCTAGGACAGTTGTACCTTTTCTAGGAAATTTCTGATTTTCTAGCCTAGGTAGAAACCCATTTTTAACCTTCAAGTTACTGCTTATTTAAGCTTTAACCTAAACTTTTCCAGTTCAAATAGGTCCCTATAGTTTCGAATGATTTTCAGATTAGGACAAACACAAACAAACCTAAGGAAAATCAGAAATCTGAATGAAAAGGCCTAGAAGAAAAATTAGACTACCACCTAGAACTAAAATCTAAATCATTCCATAAAGGAAGATGTTCTCCCAATTAAACTAAAGACTGAACCAGGGCAGCTAAAAAGAGAAGAAAAAGAAAAAGAGATAGCAGGAAAACAATCAAAGGAAAAATGTAGTGACTAATTCAAACTCATGCAATTGAGTATTCGAGATTCAAACATGCTTTTAATCAATAAAAAAACAAGCAAACAACTAAACATGTGAATGAAATCTGAAATTACACCTAAACGTGCAACTAGTCAGAAAAGAAATCAAAAGAGAAAAATGAAATCGTGGGGGAAACTGAGTAAACAACAAACTAAACTAAAAATAAAAACCTAAACTAACATGATTAGTTCCTAATGGCCAAATGCAAAACAAGAAACCTAGAACATGCAATTGCAAACAGACCAAACCATGAAGAATCAATCAAAGGAAAGGGGAAAAGATGGCCAGGAGAAAAGAAAAAGGAAAAGGAGATAGAAAGAACAAGCTCAGAAAAATTACCCATAATAGAACCAACTGGAACCGGAGGGCTTGGTTGGAGTCAGGACTTTGACTAGGGAAACTCGAACAATAGGTCCAATCTACATGAGTCAACTGCTCTCATCAAAAGCAGTCAACTCATGTAGAATAGAGCCATTAAAATCCTGGAATCAACTCAAGGCAGAGGTTTTTTAAGGTTTCTGGATCTAAGATCTAAAATTCGACCAAACTGGGGCCGATTTGGAGAGCTAAGGGTAGCTTAGGGTTTAGATAGGGGTAAGGATTATAGGGTGTGAGTTTTGAGCGATTTGGAATGATTAAGGTTCTGACCGGATTCTTCGATCTAAGATTCGTAG